TCTATACAGTATGAATGTGAAAGTTTGAATGAAGTCCGGACGTACTACATCCGCCATTTTGTCATAATCACGTGACCTACCTGCGTCAGTTGCGTCGCCTCACTTCCATTCATGAATTCTCTCGCAGGGCATTATGGGATAGCGCAGCGTGCATGGGATGCGCACTCCAGAATCTCGGCGGAAGTAGTAAGTCATCCAGGTACTTCTCGCATACTGATTTTCGAATTCTATGAATTCGGACATACTACTCGGCTCGCATACTGATTTTAGCGTACTATATAGTATGGAAGTATGCGGTTTCGGACGCAGCCATAGACAAGGTGATCTGCTACAGTTCAATCTGAGCATCAAAATGGGGAAGAAAGGTGATTTAAGTGACTTTGAACAAGACATGGTTGTCGGTGCCAGAGGCTGGTCTGAGCATTTCAGAAACTGCATTTCAGAAACTGCTGATCAACCATCTATAGGATTTACAGAAACCTGAAAAAGAGGAAATATCCAGTGAGCCGCAGAAATATATCTAGTACCTTGTTGAATCTATGCCATGAAGGATTAAGGCAGTTCTGAAGGCAAAAGACTGTCCAACCCTGTACAAGTAAGTTGTACCTAATAAAGTGGCTGGTGAGTGTACATGATTCCTCAATAAGAAAAATTAAAAATCACAATTGTTAAATAAATATGATTTCACTGCGACACTACGTATATCTCTTCTTTTATAGCTAACTTGAAAAGGTGAGGTAAGACCCCTAGAGGACCCCCTGCTACCCTTTGTGAAAAACACTGTCCTGAAGCAAGTCTGTAGAGATTTTTACTAGTTAATAGGTCATAATTAATCAAAAATATGAATACATACAGCACACAGTATGCAGATTACTCTTAATATATTTATCAGTGTATAACTAGTGCAAACTGTAAAAATTAGTGTGTGTCTGCTCCTGCAGTTAATGTGTCGCGTCTGTTTAGGATGCTGTCTCTGTTACATCGGTCATTTCTGCTCAGCATGCAAAGCCGTTTGCACAGATATACCTGTCCTGAATACTGAACAGTCGCTCGTTCATTCTTATGACACACACACATAAATGCACCAAGGTAAAGGAATGCCATCCCATTCATCACATTCATCCGTGGCTGAATGCTGCATGTCTACAGCAGGCTTTGACAAGGTCGTTACAATGACCTCTATTTACAGCGGAAAGTTTTTCTGCTCGAATGCAACAATCCATATGCAAACATTCAGGATGCAATGACTCACAGCATCCCCGAGGCCTAGACATGAGGGTGAGAAGGTAAAGCACCTGCCATCTTATAAATTATGACAGACATGATGATACACTCGAGATCTAAACAGGCTCTAGTTACATAAGAATATGCAGTCAAGACAAGGGATCGGTAAATATGGGTTTGCGTTCAAATGAACAATGAAAACTTGCCTCAATTATGCTGTCTTAGAATATTGTCTTGATTTCTTGCTTGTGGTGACGAACTCATTTTCTTGGTTACACGACTGCCAGTCAGTTTACATACGATGATATAATTTACTGTGGCACAAGAACACCAGGGGCAGCATCAGACTGTCAAGGATGATTGACAGATGGAGTCAGTGTCTTGCATACATGCCTGTTGCAAGCATATCAGCGGTGAAGGACGCTGTCAATGCTTTGATATATTGCTGATGCAGTGTGCTGGAAAATACAGTTTAAGCTGGTGCAACATGGTCTGAGATGATCATTAGCACTGGCTTGACCATCTCACACATGCAACAAATCAGCTTTTGGTGGTCAGTTTCCATTCAGTTTTCAACTGCACTCACACATGTAAAAGTCATTAGGAACTAAATACATTTCAGAATTAATAATATTTTAATTAGGCCATAAATTGAATATATTAAACTGTTGGACCCTTTAAGATTTAAAATAAAAAAATGTCCTTTCAAAATGCACAAAAAGAGACATTTTGAAGAATGTCCTGGTAACTATTACTTTAGGGATGCTAAAACACCTTAACTGTGTCATAACATGAGATCTAAAAATGTTTAATTAATAACCTCTACTGAACTGAAGATTTAAAATTCAGATTCTTAAAGGGACAGTTCACCAAAAAAATGTAAATTCTCAATATTTACTCATTACATAATTCCCTCGTTGCATTTGATTTACTTTCTTCAATTGACCTTGAAAGAAGATACTGTGTTTTGAAGAATGTCAAAAATTGGTAAAAAATGACCTGCATTCCTACTATGGTGGTCAACAGCTACCAGTTTCCAAAATTCCCTTTTGTATAGTCCTAGCATGTGCAAGCTCTTTTAGCTCAATATTAATTCAGCCCCAGTGTTCAAGGGATGATACAGAATGTAATTTTTACATTATAAAAAATTATATGATTAATTAGTCCTGACAGCATGTTTTTTAGTTCATTGTAACTTATTAAACTAGGATAATTATGCTCTAACTTAATTTTATAAGTTATGCAAGCTGTTTTAGGTCAGTTTAACATCATATAAGTTCAATAGACTTATAAGGTTAGTTAGATTAGTCAACCAGGACTTTTTACAGTGTACCAATAGTGATCAGATTGTATAACCAAAGTCATACCAGATAAATTATGCTGAATTTTATTAGCATTAATACTGTGGTTATGGTTTAGTTGTTTACTTGTTGTTTGAAACTAAGGTGTGCAGTATTTGAATGTATTTGTATTAATATTATTGTCTTTTTACATATGTAATTTATTTTATTATTTTTTTAGTATAGAGAGCTTGATGTGAAGTTCCCTTTGGCATTAATAAAGTCTAAACAAACAAACATTCTTCAAAATATTTTATTTTGTGTTAGCAGAAAAAGGGAAATTAAGAAAGGGTTGGAACCACTTTAGGGTGAGAAAATGAAAAGTACATTTTCATTGGTTGTGTGAACTTGGCATGGCCGGTATAAGATTCTGACGGAGTGATGACCTTGAATGATCACGGTATTGGGATTACTGTTCTAAGAAATATTCTTTTTAAATGTCTGGGTAAAAAACTACGTTTCCCCCTTTGAACACAATATATTTTATTTTGAGAAACATTTTAAATATTTTGGAGCAGTAAACATGTCTGAATAAATAATTCAAATAAATCATTTACTTCTGCTGTATTCGTTAATTTAAAAAACACAGATTTCTTCATGATTTAAAATGGATAAATTTTCTGCTGGAGATACTGTTGTCCTAAAAACAAAACTAAAAAAAAGTAAAAATAAATAAATAAATAAAAAATCGTACACATATGCTAGGAACGGTATTATAGAAAGTTTTGGCGGTTTTAAAACCTTGACTTTTCCAAACAGTTGAAAAACTTGAAAACGGTTATCGTCCCATGCCTAGTGTGAACTATAGCTTACTTTTAATAAATAATTCAGTTTTGTCAATTCTATGAAATCTGGCACTCCAAATTTGATCAAGGACTTTGAAGGAGGACTTTCACTAAATTAGCATTTAATTTAGGGCCAGGCGATTTTCCATATTGAACCATAATGATATATTTTTCATTGCTTCCTATTTAATATTTGCTTCATGTTTAACTGCTTCCAGATTTAACAGATTAAAACCAACAGTGCCTAAAGCCACAAAAGAATTAGAGGGTCCATTAAATGTCATATTAACATATATAAATATATCTATAATATTTTTGGCCGATAACTTTTGTTAGCCGAACATTTGGTACATCTCTAATATCAACATACTTTAAGATTCCCACTGTTGCACATTTCTACTATGTGATTGACTCTTAGATCAATACAGACTAAAAAAGTCCAGAGCTTGTCATAGTTAATGACATAAATTTTATTGTGATTTAAAATAATATGGTTTATCGACCCAGTCATAATTTAATTCTTTTAAAGAATGTACACATAAAATAGGTTATTTTTTGGCTTCGATGGTTCCACGAACAAAAGTTAACATCCATGGAAACTTTTTATGCCACAAAAAGCTGTTTGTAGTGGGAAAGGATTTTCAAATTGTTAAGAAATATATTATTATTTGAAGAACTGTACACCTAAATGTTTTTATATAGCATCACCGTGAAAAACATTTTTTATTTTCCCCGGATTTATATTTAGACTTGTATGATACTTTTATGAGGCAATAATATGCCATTTAATGCCCTTTATTGTTTTATGCAGATATATACAGCACTCACAAATCTATCTCTTAAATTCACAATTTTTAATAGGAAGCTTTACAATATTATATTTATGCATATACATTAGATTAGTCAGTACTAAAGCCAAACCTGGAGCTTATCTAACAAAATTACTTGCGATACTGGTCCAAAAACTAGTACACCCAAATGTATATGCTTTAGAAAAATATTAAATACAAATTTAATAAAGAGGAAAAATCAAGAGAAGCAAAACATTTTTAAAAATTTGTTGAAATTTTGTAGTTTGTATTTTTTTTCAATATTTTGATAGAAAGATGAAAATAAATTAAATTCAAAATATGTTTGGTGACTAAAATATGATTTTAATAAATGTATGTTTAATAAATCTGTTTTGCTTAAATGCACCAAAATACATTGCCTATAGTCACTGAGAAATTGATAAAATTCATATTCATTTTCAAAATGGGGTGTACTCAATGCTGAGCACTATACTATAGCTAAGGAGATTTGGAATAACATAAAAAAAAGTTAAACGACGATATGAATTATATTTTTGCAATCGTTTTTAACATATTGATATCAGCACACTAAATATTTACATTATTTACAAATGAAACGACCCGTTAACAAATACACTCGCGCTCAAGACGTCATTCTTCAAAATGACAGGTCTTTAAAAATATATATGTTTAGGCAGACCCGAATTTTTTCACATGAATAGGAGTTCAGACCCCCATGCGCCGTTTTGTAACTTAAAGCTCTGAAGCCACACGTACGAATGCAGCTGCCGGGCTTCATGCAGTGAAGGACCCAGAACGAGTTCACAGAAAAACACACACACACACACACAGTCACTCACCTAACTTTGGCTGCCACCGAAGAAATCGCATCATTTCTCAGATTCTTCCTTTTGGACACTGCAGTTCCCATGCTGGCATGGAAACAACGCTTGCAGGAAAACCACACATTCCAGATGTCAAAGCATGGGATGAAAACGCGTGGAAAAATACGATGAAACAGATGGCTTTTAGACTGCGGATCCTTTTGCGTTTACGTTAAGGTCTCTTTGTGTCATAACGCAAAATTCAGGAGGTGATGCGGGACAGAGGATGCTGCCGTCTCCTCCTGCCAGTGTCAACTAGTTAAAGAAAAAACACACGCTCAAGCAGGTCCCTCCCCTCCTCCGTCTCTCTCCCTCTCTCTCTCTGTATGTGTCTGTTCATTGAGATGAGAAAGGCACGATGGTTTGAAGAGTGTTTATGGTAGTGGGAGTGTGTGAGGGTCCAGACAGGAAGCCCTGTGGGAACCATATATGGAGCGACCACTCCTCCAATTCCACCCACTCCCGTGCAGCAGGTCCAGCGCTAATGTCAGGTACAAAATGAGCTGGACTGACCGGAACACACGCGCAAAACTACCTCCCTTACCAGAACCAGAATGCTTTATAGCCATCACCAAATTGATTTCTTCAAAATGGTGCAATAATTAAGGTGCGTCGACTCCACAACAAACCCCATAACTATAAGCGGCCACGCGCGCATTGATGTTCTGTTCAATATAAGCGCGCGCTGCAGATTTGTCGTTTTAAACTCCGATTGGCTGAATTTTCCCGCTTTCATTAATCGGATGGAACGTCGTTTTCGAATATGACCTTGCTCTGTAACGTTACTGTTACTTCTTTTGTAGACTTAATATGTTTAATGTGTTAACAAATTAACTTGATAGTCATGTGATCTTTTGTAGGATGAGTGAATATTATCCAAATTCTCCAATTCTCCTTATTTTGGATGACTCTAAATAAGGCCATTGATCTATCCGTTCATCTTTATATTCATTTATCCATTCACCAGTTATTCGTTCTTTCAACTATTCTTACATCAATTCATCTGTCATTCTATTTGCCTACCTGTCTATCCTTCAGTCTGTCTATTTATCCATTCATCTATCTGTCTGTCCTCCCAAACTTTCACCTATTTGTCTGTCCAACAGTGTCCTTTGTTCATCCAATTACATTTCATTCATCCGTTTATCCATCCAAACTTTCATACATCCATCTGTCTGTATGTCCATCCAGTTTATCAAACCATCTTCATCTTTTTCATTCTGTTCGTCTGTCCACCATATTTTAGTCTGTCCTATCATCCATCTGTTCACTTATCCATTCATTCATCTGTCTATCATTCTGCCTGTCTGTTCGTCTATTAATGTCATCTGTCCATCCATCTATCCATCCATCTCCATATCCATACATCCCATAACCCATTAATCCATACTTTCAGCCATCCATCATTCATCCATCCATCCATCCATCACCATATCCATCCATCACTCACTAGTCTATCCTTCCAATCATCCATCTATCCATCCGTCCATGCATCTCCATATCATACATCCCATTTTCTATTAGTCCATCTCTTCAGCCACCCATCCAGGTCCATATCCTTCCATCCCATTATCCATTAGTCCATCCTTCCATCCCAATATCCATCCATCCCATTATTCATTACTCCATCCTTCAAGCCATCCATCCATCCCATTATCCATTAGTCTATTTCGTCAGCCACCCATCCAGCTCCATATCCTTACATCTCATTATCCATTAGTCCATCCTTCCATCCCAATATCCATTAGTCTATCCTTCCATCCCAATATCCATTAGTCTATCCTTCCATCCCAATATCCGTTAGTCTATCCTTCCATCCCAATATCCATTAGTCTATCCTTCCAGCCATCCATTCATCCCTATATCCATCCATCCCATTACCCATTAGTCCATCCTTCTAGCCATCCATCCATCCCTATATCCATCCATCCCATCATCCATTAATCCATCCTTCCATTCATCCCATTATCCATCAGTCCATTCTTCCATCCATCTATCCCTATATCCATCCATCCCATCATCCATTAATCCATCCTTTTATCCATCCTATTATCCATCCTTCCAACCATCCATTCACCATTTTGTCAGTTTACCTATCCATTAATCCATCCATCTTCATACCCATACATCCCATTATCCATTAGTCCATCCTTCTAACCAGTCATCCATCCATCCAGCTCCATGTCATACATCCCATTATCCATTAGCCTATCCTTCCATCCATCCATCCATCCATCCATCCATCATCCATTAGTCCATCCTTCCATCCATCCATCTTCATATACATCACATTATCCATTAGTCTATCCTTCCAGCCATCCATCAGTCCATCCATCTCCATATCCATTCATCTCATCGTCCATTAGCCCATCCTTCCACCCATCCATCTCCATATCCATACATCCCATTATCCATTAGTCCATCCTGCCAACCAGTCATTGATTCATCCATCATCTCCATATCCATCCATCCATCCATCATCCATTAGTCCATCCTTCCTTCCAACCATCCATCCATCCATCCATCCATCCATCCATCCATCCATCCATCCATCCATCCTTCCTTCCTTCCTTCCAACCATCCATCCATCCATCCATCCATCCATCCATATCTATCTATCTATCCATCCATCCATCCATCCATCCATCCATCCATCCATCCATCTCATCATCCATTAGTCCATCCTTTCATCTTTCCATCCATCCATCATCTTCATATGCATCACATTATCCATTAGTCTATCCTTCCAGCCATCCATCAGTTCATCCATCTCTATATCCATACATCTCATCATCCATTAGTCCATCCTTTTAACCATCCATTCATCATTTTGTCAGTTCACCTATATGTTTATTCATCCATTCATCCATCTCTTGAAATCAAATGGTTCAAATCTAAATCAAGTCTATAAAACAAAAATCATATTGAATGAACATAATCAACATGCAAATATTAGGTTACACCAAATCAGGGACAAATAGCTCATTGATCTATTTAATTGTTGAAAATACAATTCCTCACCTCACATTTGCATAAGTACCTTCACAGGGTTTCAGTACAATGAAAAAGACTGTACCACTGTGTGCACACACACACACACAGACACACACGTGTCTGGAGTACAGCAGTGTGTCCTCGCTCCATAACAGCCTGTTAACTGTCTGCGGTTTCCTCACTGAAGCAGACACACAACAGACGAAGCGTCCCTCTGCTGTAGGACGGCTAGACAAACAAGAAGAGAAAAACAAGGGCTTTAGTGCAGCAGCAGCAGCATCACTAAACCACATATGAATTAGAAACTACACAGTAAGATCATCTGAAGAGCTGCATTTCATGTTTCTGTGTCATATAGTGAGGCAGATGGAAAGCAGCTGGATTGAAGAACAATATATCACAGAGCTTCTCAGCTATTTTTTTCCTCCTTCTGTAGCTCATGGTATTTTTTTAAGTAAATAATCCACGGTAGCCCTGGGCTGTGAGTGTGCGTGGTGGGACTGCCGATGAAGGGAGGAAAAACAGAAATGAAAGAATGACAAAATGCCCTTTTCTTTAACAGTGAGCAGAGAAGTGCAGCGCTGTGTACAGCATGATAAAGCCCACAGAATCTGTTAATTATTCTCACACAGACTGCAGCGCATGTTCACCTCACGCACAGCTAAGCGTTACAGATTAAAATTAAAAACTCCACATAATTGACATTTTTTGCTAACTGAATAAAACATCTTGTCTATTGTGAAGCCTGAGGTTTTTACTGTTAAATTTGGCTGCAAAAATAAAAATGCAAAATCTGCAAAAATCTGTAACCTGGTGAACAGTACGTTTCCTTAATATATATCAGGGGTTCTCAAACTCGGTCCTGGAGGTCCGTTTGTTTGATTGTGACAATCACACACACACACACACACACACACACACACACGCACGCACGCACGCACGCACGCACGCACGCACGCGTTAACTTCAAAACATTGTTGTATTAACATTATAAATGAGAAGAATCTTGTTGTTTACGGTTTAAAAAATACATAAATACAGTAGTTTACTTTTTTATAAATATTTACTTATATTGGTCAATTTATTTTAAGGTTTGTACAATATTTTTAACAGTAAAACACTGGCAACCTCATATGCTGTTTTATTTTTTCTATACATTTCACCGATTGTTTTTTTCAGTGTTAGTAAGAAACATCCTCTGAAAAGACAAATGAAAATTGACTCAAGCTCATCATCTAATGCATCACAAAATGATTTTTTGACATTGAATTTTTGTGTTTTTTTTTTTGTCATTGTTTTAGTTGACGAAGCAACATGTTCTTCCGGACAGGATGCCCTGTTTGTGCTCTGGGCTCTTGCACAAAACACCTGGATGATTTCTGGAGGGGGGCACTGCTGTTCCCATCACTCACTGTCTGTTTCAACACAAATAACCCAACAAGGTCAGCCAAAACACTCGTATTCCATTATGCCACTGGCTCATATTGTGCCAGATCTCCTGCCTCTGCTACATCACATCTGTGTATTGACAATCACTAATAACGGCATGCAAAATCTCATAAACTCCCATTGACACCAGCAAGGAAAGCCATCCTTAAAACCTGCTGGGATAATTGCAACAGAGAGATGGTATCTTTGCCGCTTTTCAAATTTGCATAATTTGAAACTTCATTTGAATAATACAATAATTGGTAATCATGTAGGTACAACGGGGGAAGTGATCTCAAGCAGATTGTCACAGGGTCTGTTTCAGGAAAAGTTCTGGAGAAATAATAATTAGTTTCGTTTCATCATCATAGTAATTTGAAGAGGTCATATTTAAGAATGTCTCACGCATTAATCGCTTTTATAGCTAATTTGTGAATAGCTTGAGGGGAAAAGAGGCCTTTAGTTTTGAAAGCCTGTAGACTGGTTGGACATTTTTGCAAGAAAAATCAAATGATTAATTAAAATGGTCACACTTTATTTTAAGGTACAATTCTCACTATTAACAAACCATTGATTAACCATTTTAGCCCAATAAGCTTCTAATTTACTGCTTATTAATAGTCATTAGGTATTGGGTAGCATTAAGGATGTAGAATGAGATCATGCAGAATATTTATATATTTTATAAGTACTAATAAACAACCAATAGGTAGTTTGATACCCAGTGGTTGAACTAGGCATTGCTTTCCTGGATCAAATCAAAGGCCAGCGCTGATTGCCAGATTGAGGACCAACAGACTGACTAGAGCCTTAAGAGTGATTTAAATCAAAGTATTGGCACACGATTGAGGGAATATTCTACATATTAAAAGGAGTTTTTATCCAAACCAACACCTCGAATTTATATATATACATATATATATATATATATATATAGAAGATAGATAGATAGATAGATAGATAGATAGATAGATAGATAGATAGATAGATAGATAGATTCTTTTCTAGCACCTGAACAACAGAAAACTGACAATATTCACCTCATGTGCTTCATTCTGCATTAAATGCTAACAATGCGAGTTTGAATGGCATTTTACATGACATTTCAAATGTTCACACTCAGCTGATGATTGATTATAG